AGAGAGAGAGAGAGAGAGAGTAGGGGAATCCGTGGTTTAGAGAGAGAAAGGGGTGTGGGGTTCATGCACTACTTAGCTGGCGTGCTTTGTCAGCGCACGTGTGATTGTACGCGTGTGCTTGCTGCGCTGTATATCCCCTTCTCTTTCGGGGGGTGGCCTTCGAATTCTCCATACTTAGGCACCAGCGCTCACTCTAAAATGGGGCCTCCGGCTACTCCACCACCACCACTGGTAACCCTAACCCTTCATTCTCTCTCCTCCGCTTTCTCGCTCTTCTTCCTCTCCTCTTTTCCATATCCCTAGCTACTGAATTTCTCGCCGGGAAGTGTTTTTCCGGCGACTGGATTCTCGGTTTCTAGTTCTTTCCTGGCTTCTTAGACAGTCCTTTTACTGGTTTTTGGGAATCATGAGTGCTTTGAAAATTGAGGGAGTTCCTCCAAAGTTTCCTATTGGACTTAGAGTTTTGGTTGTGGACGATGATTCCACATGTCTCAAGATTCTTGACAAGATGCTTCAGAAATGTGCCTATGAAGGTGAATTCGTTTGCTGATTCACTTTTGGGGTCTCTTTTTGAGTATTCGTTCTTTCGTTACAGTGAATTATTCTTGGGATTGGGGGTGTTTGAATTTTGCTTGGGTTTTGGTTTTACTTTTGTTTTGGATTATTCTTTCTTTATTTCGTCTTCTACGGTGTTTTGTTTTGATTTTTAGTTTGTTTTTTATTGGAATTTGGATAAATGTGGTACAACTGTTCCTTTTGGAAATTGGGATATTTCTTTATTGAATTTTTATTTATTTTTTTAGTGATTTTCAACTGCTTTTCAATTGGAAATGAGAGATACTCTTGGTGGCATTAAAAAAAAAAAAAACTATATTATTACTACTACAGGTGAATCGAATTCATACTTGTAGAGGTTCAAAGTTAAAGTATTTCCAAAGCAAGACTTTTTCTTTTTCCAAATCTTTTCTTAAGTAGTTCTTTCTGACTTTGTTGCGGTCTACATTTATATCTATTTTGGGAAATGCTGTTCGGTCTTGTATGGAGTTAGTTCTTACTTTTGGAAATGGGTCTGGTCTCTATATCAAGTTAGTTAGTTGTTATTTTGGGAGTCTCTATAGTCTTCATCAAGTTAGTGTCTTTATTGTTCAATTATTTAATGGTTTTACATAATACTGATGTTCTTCTGTCGGCAGAGTCTTTCTGATATCTATCCGTAATACATTGATCCTTGAATTTTTTGGATTTTCCGAGACTACATGCTGGACTTCTATTCCTCCCAGTTGCATTCGACAGTTTCTTACCTTTTGATGCTTCTCTCATTGTTTGGTAATTGGAAGTCAGCAGTTTTTAAATGAGGGTCTTTTGATTTTTTCGTTGCTTTTTCTTTTATGGTCTGGTGACTGGTCGAAGTCGTATGTTACTATCTTTGGAAAACCATCGGTTAAGGAATCTTTCAGTTCAAACAAATTTGATCAAGAGTGTCGTTATTGATATTTTATTATTATGAGATTCGGCTCCTTTGTATCCGCTGTGTTTTTTATATAGTGAGAATCTGAATTTGAGACCTCTATAAAAAATTTCATGCAATTTTTGATACTTAAGTTTGCTGCTTTCATCTCCCTTTAAGTTCTTCTGTTTCTGAGACTGATGGATCTTCACTAATATTTCTTTGAGAACATGCAAGGTGTGATAGTTTTGGCAAAGTGAGTTCTTTTTGGAACTTGGAGTTGTAGGGTAATGTCTACTTATTGTATGAATTGTATATTGGTTTTCTGTCCTCTCGTTTTTTCTCTTATTTCTTTTTAGTACTATGGCTATTTCTTTTGCTAAGATAATGAAGCTTGCATACTTTTACTTTTCAAAGAAGAAAGACTGATTGCTTTTAACCTGCAGTATGGACGTGCTCGCGGGCTTCAGACGCCTTGAATCTTCTTAGGGAGAGAAAAGGTGGTTTCGATATTGTCCTAAGTGATGTCTACATGCCTGATATGGATGGATTTAAGCTCCTTGAGCACATTGGGTTGGAAATGGATCTTCCGGTTATAAGTAAGCACTTTTTCTTTTCTCAGTAAGAAATTATTTCAGACTCTTCATGCTTTGATTATATGAGTTGGTCATTTCTTTTATGATAGGTGATTATATAATTGGGATTTTGGTTTCATATTCTCTGGTCTATTAATTAAAAGAAAAATAAATAATTTGGTTCTTGAATCCAGTGATGTCTGCTGATGATAATCCGACAGTTGTGATGAATGGGGTGGTACATGGGGCTTGTGATTATCTCATTAAGCCTGTGCGCATGGAAGCTATAAAGAATATATGGCAGCATGTGATAAGAAAGAAGAGAAATGGATTGAAGGAACAGTCAGGGAGCGTAGAAGAAATTGATAAAAATAAGAAGGGGTCTGATGACGTTGATAATGCATCATCTGTGAACGATGGTAATAATTGGAAGAATACAAAGAGGAAGAAGGATTCAAAGGACGAGGAGGATGAGGGTGATGAGCGTGATGATTCCTCCACTTTGAAGAAACCTAGAGTGGTTTGGACCATCGAGTTACATCAACAGTTTGTGACTGCGGTGAAGCAGTTAGGCCTTGAAAGTAAGAATCCTTGCATTCTGATTACTCTTTTTTCATTTGGTTTCTTTCTACCTTGGAATTAAGGCTCAAACCTATTACAATATTTTCCCTATCTTTTCTTGACAATCCATGTCGATTGTGAGGTTTTCCTATATTTATTAGAATACTCATTATTTCTTGAGCTGAGGAAGACAAATATTGGTTTCTATCTTGACTTTAAGTTGGTGCTATTAAAGGTCACTAAATCCCCATGAAAGGCTATCAGCAAATTTACAGTGTTAAAACTGCCTCTTCTTTTACATCTGGCAAAATTTTCGCCATAGTCATTGTGTATAAATTTCGGGTACCTTACTCATCAATCACTAACTTTGGTTTGGATAGTTCCTGTGTTTTGACTGTTTTTCTATATTATATTAAGTATTAATTATATCTCTTCCGTACATTAACCACATGCTAGGAACAGATTTCAACTGGTGACATGAGGATTTTCAGTCCTCGGCTCTACCAGCTGAGTTATCCCGACCATATGATCCATCAAATATTGCAGAGCCCTAGTATTTATTACGGTTCAGAATTGGACCATAACAATGGACCACTGTTTTTGTAATCCCTTTGTAAAACTAATTTATTTTTGTCATTTTGCACAGAGTTCAGCGTAGTCTACCTTTGTGACTTTTATAGAGTACCGTACTGTGCTATCTGACTGTGCTGCATTATTGCAGAGGCTGTTCCCAAGAAAATATTGGAAATAATGAATGTGCCCGGACTCACTAGAGAAAACGTTGCGAGCCACCTACAGGTATAATGTCAATTAGTTTGAAAGTTCTCATCAGTTTTTCTGTATTGATATTTGCTATCTTCTCGAGACACATTTCGGCAAAAATTCATATGGTTACATGGAATTTGACTTGCCTCCAGTCCAGATTTTCTCTGTTGCCAAACAATATTATGTGTTACTTCATCATAACCATGTGGTTCATATTTTCTTATGGAACCTATATTTTCTGGAAATTGCCTTCCCTTTGTTTCTTACTGTAACCAATGCTTATACTTGGATATGCATGTCCAACACTTTGGGTCATTGAGTTTGGTATTTACCGGATGTGTGAGTGACTTTATTTATTATTTCTTGAGTCGAGCATTGTGTATTTCTTGCCATATTTGGGTATGCATGGGGGTTGTGGATCTATTAGGTCTTATTCAATGTAGAGTAGATCTAACTACATAGGCTCCCTTCCCAAACTATTTGCTTTCAAAATCATCATTTCTTCCTGGTGTTTCCGAGAATAATAAACTTAATTTTTTGAAATCAGAGAATAATAAACTTAATTTGACAGCGCCTCTCTCTCTCTCCCTCTCTCTCTCCATGATTGTAAACATGGATTTAAAAGGCTTGATTTCCATGCTAAGTCATGGAGGGCCTTCATAGGCTTAAACCTTCTCATATATGTATATACAAAGAAACCATTTATTATTAATACAAGGAGGTTACAATCATCTTGTCCATCAGATTGCAAATCAGGTGGTTGTGAGTGTGTTATTGACTAGACTCAAAGTTCGAAAAAAAAAATTTCAAACTTTGTGCACAGTCCAAGCCCCCGAATTTTTCATCTAATGGCTTGGAGCAATTGTCAGTATAGTAAAACACAAATTGTTATTGTTAGAAATTAGAATTGTTCAATGTATTGTTTATAGCAAGCATTATTATACCCTCAAACTGACCAAGATTGTGTCACTGTTTGCATATGGCAGCTCAAGGGTTTGAAACTTTGAAATTTGTGTTTCCTATTATAGTATATAGTTACTTTACATCTATAGAACAATTCTTTGGTTAGGTTACACAGTTCGAAAATTATTATTGATGCAAAAAAAAACAGATAAGAAAATGAAAATATTAGTTGATGCATGAATATGGTTTCCAATCTTAACTTAGCAAAGTGACTTTGTCATTAATTGCAGCTTCTATGATGTGATAAAGTGCCACCGTCAAAACCAAATTTTCCTTATATGGATGAAAACTGATTGACTCTTGTACATATATATGTTTTTTATTAGCTGCTTCTTGTATCATTTTAATCTTGCGTCTGTTGTTATGGACTGATATATAAGGGAATTATCTCAGCAATATTTCTAAATGAGTCTTGATTGGGACTTGAGAAGAAGTTTTAATCCTTGGGTATGAGGAGAGCTATCTCTTGGGATCTCGAATCTCCGCAGATAAACTGTCATGCACACACCCGTTATCCAAACATAAGTATGTATTATAAATGAGGGAGGGAGCTAGTGAAGGAGAGAATTATGTACACATGTACTATAAATATGTATTACTAAGGTTGATGGTGCATGAGCTCTTAGATTCTGTTGGATGCTTCTCCTGCTACTGTACGTACATCTGATTCCTTTCTCACCTTTGCTCTAATTCATATCTTCTGTTTAAATTGTTGCATCGAATGTTTGGGTTGTTGAATCAAGAGTTTGTTGTTTAAATTTATGAGGGTTGATATACATCTACTTTTCTTCTCCTTCCATCATTAGGATGCCATTTAAGTTGCTCTATATGTAGATTCAGTTTCTTCTTTTACCTGGGCTGTCGCGATTACAAGGACATATGTGTGGGATCTGTGTGCAAGATCCAATCTTTCTAGACTGATAGATAAGTTCGTGGGTGAGAGATCCTACTCTCATGACTGAAAGATCTTACTCTCATGACTGATCTCCCGAAAAATATTTTTGAATTGCTTCTAGGTTCGCTTTCCCTTTCTCTACTTCACCAAGAATCCCAAAAGTCAATGAATTTAATGGAATTTTACTCATCCAAAGAATTATAAATGAACTTTTATTTGCCATGTTTTTCTGTCTGTCACAATGTGCATATATATTATGCAGAAGTACCGCCTGTACCTTCGTAGGATTTCTGCTGGATCACAACAGGGAAACATCAACCCGTCCATCCTTGCTTCCTCAGATCCGAGTTTTGCAGCAATGGCTTCTCTCGATAGGTATGAGTTCCAAGCTATGGTAACTTCTGGTCGAATTCCTCAGCAAAATTTCATGGCCATGCAAGCTGCTCTCGGCAGATCAAACTCAAACACTACTGTTGCCATGGCCCACGTAGACCCAAGAAATCTTTTCAAAATGGAAATGCAAAATCCAAATTCTTCCAATATGCTAAGGTATGGCCAAACTCAACATCTGAGCAATAGTCAAGCAAACATGCTCCAAGGGTTCCCATCACCCTTGGACTCTAAAAATATCAGTCATTTGCACCAACCATTTCAACAATTTGGAAACATGGATCTCCAAGCCGACAATTTGTCGAAGCTGCAGTCTCATTTGCGACCGATCTCTTCACCCCAAGGAGATCCCAGCTTTAATCCTAGCTCAAGAGCTATGCATTCAGAAAACTTCCCTCTAATGAGGCCGATGAGCCAGCAACCACCACAACAACTCTCGCTTTCTCTTCAGCAATATCAAATGCAGGCCAACTCGTTACACCATCAGCAATCAAAGGGGCAGTTCTTAACTGAAATGGGGCATATGTCGAAGCTTCCGTCTTCTTCCTTCGGGAAGCAAATGGTCTCGAATGACTTGAGTGGTCACATACTGGGAAGAAATGGAGCTAGTGCCATTGCATCATCCCAAAATGACTTCTTGGGGGGTTCCAATTATGGTGTATTTGGCCAGACACCATCTCTTTCTTACCAGGCAAATCACCAGTTGGACATTCTGAATAGTCTGTCTCTGCCTATTACTGGAGGCTTCGATGGGCTTGGTTCTAGGGGTTTTGCTCCGAATTTCAATTCCTTCAATGATGGCAGCTTTGTGCAAAATGGAGGTGACCATTTCGGTTTTGGGAGTCATGGTTTAAGTGTTTGTGACCAGAAAAATGGTCAGCTTCAAGATGCTTCCTCTGTTGGAAAGGGAATATTTTTTGTGGAAGGCGAAGAAGAACACAGGAGACCTGGAATCAACAATATTCAAGTGCATAACAACGTTCTTCCTGGCAATCAACCTAAAGTCAAGGATGAGAGTTCGGATGTTGATAGTGTTCTACTTAACGAGCACTTTGGTCAAGATTATCTCTTGAGTGGGATTTTTAAACAGGTTAGTCTTTTCTTTTCTTTTACTTGCATTTTAAATTTTGAGCAAATAGAAACAAATATATGCAGGGGTTATATCTGCATTTTAAATAGTGTCCCGTTTTGTATTTGTATTTTATTCATTTGCTATGAATATCTCTGGAATAATTGTCCTCTTCTCCTTCATATTCCATTTCTCTTTTTTTGGGATTATTTTTTTTGGGTCAGTCAATTTTTTGGGATTAAAATAGGAATAATAGTATACAAATAGCATATTATATGGTCTTAACTGTCAATTCTCAACTACACATGGTTAAGATGAACTAACCTGTCATTGTCTGCTCAAACGGAGCAGCCATTCATCAAGCAGGCAGTTGAATTTGTATACCCTTTTTGCGAATGTATACTCTCTCTCTCTCTCTCTCTCTCTATATATATATATATATATATACATATATATATATATACCATAGCTAAAATATGACACACATTATCTCTACCATGCATACTCAAACAGAAGTAGAAGAATCTCTCATTTCCACATCCCCCTTTTCTATGTGGGGATTGTAGACCATATACATTTGGTATAAGAAGATCACAATCAACCCTAGTCATCAAATGTAAGATCCAACAGCTCAGGTCACAAAAGAGAAATTTTTTGCAAATTTTGAATGTAGTAAAAGGTACACTCCCAGCTGCTCGATTTCATTTCTAACTGTTGAGGATGATTGTGATTTCCTTGTACCAAAAATGAATGGTCTTATTGCATACTTTCTCTTTTGTGTGAATGGTGGACACGAATGGAGCATACTCATTGTGGGATTGCAGTATTTTTCCCTTTGCTGTTTATATTCTTAGGATTCGCTTTGAATTGCTTTTATTGACTCTCTCTCTCTCACCTTTTATATTCTTAAGCAGCCTGAAGACGATAACATTTTTAACATTGATGGTTGCAACATGGGTGACGGTTGTCAGTAATAGATGTCTGTGAGCACATGTTGTTGGTGAAGTTAGATTAGGCTCATTCTCAGGTGAAGTTAGATTAAACTCATTGTAAGTGGGGCAACAATTCCTGGTACTTCCACCAGTGGAGAACCACATAGTTGGGGCGTTCTCTCTCTCTCTCTCTCTCTCTCTCTCTCTCTCACCAAGTTTTTGTTTTTCCTATAACTACTGGAGAGGTGCTGCAATTGGATTCGAGAATCTGGGTTTCATGGGAGGGACAGCATGGATACTGCATGGAAATGGTCATTCCTACATATGAGGAGAAGGCTGGTTTCTCACTCCAAATGATGCAAGAGAACTCTCTTTCTCTAATGGTGTACCATACATAGCGGCCAAAAAGTTCCTGCAAATTTTTTTATTGCATGTTGCTGAGTCTAACCCAGATTCAAAATAGGGATTAAGAAGTCATTGAGGTGAATGGGTAGTTTGGGTTTTACAGAGTTCTTCGGAATTAGAGGTTGGTTGGTTAACCATATTCATTTAACCACAATAATGCCCAGGCTGTTGGCTGATAGCATGTACAGATCTCATTTTGAATACAAGAAATGTGGATCCTATGTTGCTTCATGAATACAAGAAATGGAAATCTTTGTTGCTTCATTCACAATCAATGAATTTTGTTTCTTAATGCAAACAAGGATCAAAATGTGGGTAGGTTTTACTT